TTACATGCGGTGTGATTTTTTCGGTTAATCGTTGGAACTCGGTTTTGTGACATGTTTTGGCATCGTATATTTTTCGCTCGTTTTATGGCTGGATAGCGAGTTTTTTCTCAAAGTAAGTATTGGGCCACTTGCGTTGCCAGAAAATTCGTGTCTAAAAGCTGATTCGCTACGCTGTTTCGTTCGAACGGCCCGTTACATAACGTCCGGGGGATTTTGTGGCAATTTCGCAATTCCCCATTTCAAATCTCCCAGTTAATTGCCCTTATTGGCTTTTTCTTTGCAAAAAAAGTGTCATTGCTTACAGCGAAATAGTGTTTCATATACTTAATGCAAGCCTTTTTTTAAGCATTGAAAGCACATTTTTAGTATAACGAGCTCTAACTAAGTCTAACATTTCATCCGATAAGTGAAAGCTTTTATTGCTCAATTATCATAGTTTTGGACTAAATAATGCTTATTTCTTCTATGGCCACCTGACACAAAGACTGCTCCAACAGCCTAATAGGAATAGCATAAAACCATTTCAGGCGTACTTAATTGCTCAGACTACAACAAAAAGTCGTTTTTAGCAATATTTCATAAGGCTGTGGAATCTATACAGACTTGCGAGGGAAATAAACAAATTTCTAGGTTTGAGGTTTTTCAGGTTCAAATAGGAGGTTTGATCGGTTTTGAAAATTTGGGAAACAATAACTGTGTAACCAAATCCAGCAACATGTTATTTTGCAGATTTTTTATGCAATAACTCTCAACTGAAATGAAAACGATTTTATTTCATAGACATTTTCTTATGCATTCTACCAAAGCAAAGAAATTGAAGACCCAGTAGGTTGCACGCCTTTTTTTTCAATTAAAGAAGCTCTATAGAGTTGCCTATTTTTTCCAAAAATGCATTCGATATCTTGAGACTTTATAAACAAGGAGTCCCCCGAAAAGGTGTTCTAAACGGTCCCAAAGCACCGACTTTGTCTCGCCCAAGAAAGGACTAGGTACTATTTGTAATGCAGACGCGGGTAAATTTTCTACTCTTGATCCTTTGCTTATCTCCTTCTTGAGATAAATTTATTGGCAATTAATTTCACATTATCAGTTAATGTTTCTGGTCATTTCTAATTTTATCACTAACTTGTAGTTAAATGCAATTCAATGTTTACTTGTAATTTAAACGAATTGCATTACAACGCCCATTTGATCAAGTACATACGATTAAAGTGCTATTAACCGCTATACAGGGTGTCCCGTAAGCACATGATCAAAAGGGTACTGCGATATTTTTTGCATCAGCAGAAGACGATCTGACCTAACTTTTATTAAGAAAAAATGTCTGGCTCCTCTGCTATTGATGGTCAAAGTTCTTTAAAAAATGGATCTTTTTTGAAATATCGGGCGAATGGTACGATGTATTTTGGCGAAACGCGCTGTGAATTTGTTCTTATGTAAGGCTCATATTTTGATGAAACAATCGAGTTCAGTCGTTTTTGACAAGTGGTGAATTCTTGAGTGTCGTGGTACAAAAACTACCAGAACTTTTTATTTGGTGGATGAAATCAACTATTTTTTTTTGGTTGATGCACTAATCRTTTATTCACAATTTTGTGCTCTTTGTAAAAATGGTAGSAYTCATAGTTTTTGCAAAAAAAAATTYTSWTTTSYWGYTAMTGTCTAACAWTGTTAAGTGGCAAGAAAACAKTAAYTGTTTTTCGCAAAAACTATGAATGCKGCAATATTTTCCAARTAGCACRMAATTGTGATTAAATCATAAGTGCCTTYGCAAACCACCAACCAAAAAAATAGTTGATTTTATCCACCWAATAAAAAGTTGTGGTAGTYTTTGTACCAYGACACTCAGAATTCACCACTGGTCCAAAACGGCTGAACTCGATTGTTTCATYARAATAWGAGTCTTACATAAGAACAAATTCACARCGARTTTCACCAACATACATCGTACCATTCTCCCGATATTTCAAAACAGAAAATTTTTTTGAAGAACTTTGACCATCAATAGCAGGGGAGCCAGACATTTTCGTTAATAGTCAGGTCAGATAGACTTCTTTTGATGCAAAGAATGTCGCAGGATCCTTTTGATCATGTGCATGCTTACGGGACACCCTGTTTATCAATATAACAAAACATCTAATTTTTGSWGATATATTAAAAAGCCATTCATTCGCCCGTTTTCSCATGCGTTAAAWCTACCGCGACCTGGTGRAKKTMGTTTTTCGAGTTTATTTACAAAAAAATYTATTACAATCGACGACGAGCTGTTGAAATTTAATTTTGCTTCAGTTTTCTGCTAATAATTAATGGAACGTTGCAGATGGACGCTAAAGGAAAAACCCATTTTTCATTCCGGTTGGAAATAGTTTTCGATAGTTTTTGCGTAGGT